TTCCTCGCAGCTGTTTTTTGATCTATGAAATAATTTGAGTGCAACAAGCTGATTTAAAGTACCACTTGTTGTTGTTCGTTTCCAATTAGCAGCATACACAGTTGCAAATCCAACTTTTCCAAGAAATTCTAATTCTTCAAATAGAATCCACCACTCAAATGCCTTTTTTTCATCCCTAAATCTGTGAAATCGCACCCAAAAAAAGAGAAGCAAATCCCAAGACGAAGAAAACGGCATAACTCTAGTAACGACGACTCCAATGACGAAATCAAACCCGAAAGAAAGAGAAGCAAATCACAAAACGAAGAAAATGCCGTAACTCCAGTAACAACGGCTCCAACGGCGAAATTAACCCCGAAAGAAAGAGAAGCAAATCCCAAGACGAAGAAAACGGCGTAACTCCAGTAACGATGGCTCCAATGGTGAAATCAATCCCGAAAGAAAGAAAAGCAAATCTCAAGACAAAAAAAATGGCGTAACTCCAGTAACGACGGCTCCAATGGCGAAATCAACCCCAAAAGAAAGAGAAGCAAATTCCAAGACGAAGAAAACGACGTAACTCCAGTAATGATGGCTTCAACGGCGAAATCAACCCCGAAAGAAAGAGAAGCAACAGTAAATATATATAAGAAAAAAAAAAACGACACTAAAATGAAAAACTTACCCGAAACCTCCAGTAACGACAACTCCAATAGCGAAATCACACCCAGAAGAAAGAGAAGCAGCAGTAAATATAAAGAAAAAAAAACAAAGCAGATCAAAAAAAATAATAAAAACTTGTCTGATTAGCCGATCTGCTGGTAGGGGTGGTGATCCATGTAATCTAGTCTGGAGATCGATTAATTACGTGATCCGGAAATTCTCACCTACATCCTGTATCCGTCACTGTTAATGTGGAAAGGGCATACACATAATACACGTTTTTTAAACTAATTTCTAAATATAGTTCTTTTTTTCTATTTTCTCTATATTTTGTATCAAATTCACTATTAATTCAATTATTTTTAATATTAATTATTAAATAATTATTATTAAATACTTATACTCTGCGTGGTTTTTTTTCTTTTTCATATCTTACACATTCTACATGACATCTTTCTTGACATATGTGACTCTAGAGCAAAAAGACTTAGTGTATTAATAAAGAATCACGTTTTATTAGTATCATTATTATGGTAAAAGTAAAAAAATGCTTTAATTTCAATATATCGAGACTTTAAACTTACTTATTCGACTGCTAAATTAGCATTTTAGTCGCGTCTTTTAAATTGTAAAGAAAAGGATTATTTTAATATTTCAAACTTCAACTTTTGTACTGTAAACTGAAAACAATTTGTGAAAAAACTTCTGATTGTAAAAGTTAACTATTGCTATGTAAAGAAAATTTTCAAATACAGTCAGATCTCTCTAAGTGCACGTTCTTGGAACCATACTTTAACAACGTGCATTTAGAAAATAATAAGAAAAAGTGTATTTATAAAGGTCAAGCATATATTTGGACCAGAATTTGACTGTGCATTTAGAGAGGGTGTGCACTTATAGAGGGTGCACTTAGAGAGGTTCGACAGTATCAATATCGATATGTAATAATCTTGTAATTGATGCGGAAAATCTATGGACAGTTCTTAGGGACAGTATGGACAGTAAAATTCACATGATACTACTAAAAACCAATAACCCTAACTGTCCGTAACTATCAACACACGTGATTCGCAACTGTCCCTAAGAACTGTCCATAGATTTTCCGTAATTGATGCGTAAATCATAATGATAAAATGCCATATTATAATTGGCTATTCATGTAGATCGGGCACGTGAGCGTGAATTTTTGTTGGCGATCCTGGGTAAGATATGCCTCTTAACCCCGTGCCCCCACCACAAGATCAGGTGTAACGTTTGTGTAACCCGAAAACGAAGAAAACATTGAAATTTTTCAAAAATTCGCTATAGCTCAAAATTTTACCTATGAAACCACCTTTTATGTTCTAATAAAAAAAATTCCTTGCAAAATTTTACTATAACATCTGTTCTACCCCAACCCTAATTCAACTCTCACCCTGACCCTAACGACAATTAACTTTAGCGATTGTTTTGATTCCATAACACGATCTGGTTGGTCAATTGCAATCCGGTGACTGTCACCGCCGGCGACTAGATTATTTCATAATTTATATGCATGCGATGAATTAGCACAACGCCTGGGTGCGGTATATACATTTATCCTATAAAGTTTTTACATTTATTATTACTAGAATAGCAATTATTGCATAATAAATTTTTTATACAAATTTTTGCAATTACATATACGGGTGTTTTTTATACGTAATTGCAGTCTGTCTTATACAAATTGTGTAATAATAAAAATTATTTATGTTTATAAAAAAATTTTAAGTTTATTAGTAAATTTTGGTGTAATTAGAGTTTTACTGAAATGTGATTATATAAAAGAATAACTAAATTTATTGTATACTAAATTTTAATTCTTTAACAACTTGAAAGCATTATAAAATTTTATTACAACCTGCAATTATTTGGAACCAACCAAAGTATTTTCTAAATTCACAATAATCCCATTCCGACATATGATATAGTTTATTATAACCTATTGTTTTTTATGTAGTTATTAACAAAAATCGACTACTATGTTATAATAATCTATCCGCACATGCTAAAAAAAGATTTACATATTCAAATTACACTAATTTTCAAAGTTTATATACATCCCAAAAAATTTCTAAAGTACTGTAGGCATCACGTCCAATTGCTTCTTGATGTCTCCACAATACTTTAATATAGTTTTATACTCTGAATTATATTTTTCTTTACCAGTCATCGTTGTGTTAGCTCTATTATAATTAGTTTGTTCATTGATGATGCTCGAATTATCACAATTATCTTTATCTAAATTATCCTCATTATCCTCATTATCCTCATTTTCATCAATTAAATCATCTTTAAGTAACAACCATCTCGCTTTATTGCACTTGGCTCTTTCATCCAAAAGCCAGTTAGTGTATTCACTCGCTAATAATCTTTTATCGATCAAATTTATAAGTCTGAACGTAAGTAGTAGATCATATCGTAACATTGCTACTTTTTTTCGTGAATGTATTATTTCCTCGGATAATCGACGATGTGAATGGAGTAACCATGGATATGGTGGATATTGAATTCGTGTGTCTAAAAATTGCTTGTAACTAACATGAAAATAAACTGATTCTGTTAGTTAATTCGTTAAAAAAAAATGAAAAAAATAGTTTCAAGGTTCTTTGTTAGTAAATATTATTTGTTAAAATAATTGCCTGGTAAGATCGACACCATCTATTATATTTGCACTTTTATTCAGAATATGCTCTTCCAAATCTCGAAGGTATACTGCTGGCGTTCCATGAGTTGATTGAGTTGATCGAGCTGATGTTGAATCGATTAAGCGCCCAGTACAGAACCATATATAAATATTCATTGCCAGTGACAAAATCAGAATCGTTACAAGCACTTCATTTAATGATAAAGAGGATAAGATTTCAACAACTGTTGAAATAATCGTAGAGATCTTCCCTCTTCCATTATTTAGAGAAGTGGAAATGTTTTCAATCATTTTTCCTGATGAACCACAAGGTACTAAATTATCATCACTTGCAGTGTGTTTTATATGGTTACGATTTTTGGGTACACGATGATGAGGACGACGACGAAGAGTTGGAGAATATCCTCCATGTGCTCGTATTGGAGAGCCTGGTAAGACAGCCGATACGATTTCATTTTCCACATCTGTACTAAGTAATTCAATTATATCTGCTACAGTTTCTGCTAAGCCGGCCATTGCAGCTTTTCGAATCATTTCTATAAAAAAGTACGCGCATAAACATAAGAATTTTATGAACGAACAAATTGCTTAAGATTATTGATGAAATAACTAATTACTTTTAACCATTGGTGACTTAAACCATTTGATTCCAATGTGGAATGCCAATTTACATGATGTTTTTGAAACATAAGTTATGCAACACTTGCACATTGGCAAAAATGAATCATTGTATGGCATTTTTAAAGCTTTTGTTTGTATTAAAACGACATAAGATCTGTTCACAAAAATAAATATATTAAATCATAAATTCATAATTAAGAGTAGATAGATAAAGAAAAACTTACAAATAATCTTCACGTTTTTGACATATTTGTGTTTGAAGGCAGTCCGTTTCTTTAAGATTAGCAGCTATATATTTCCAATTTTATATTAAATTTTCATTCTCTTATTGTGTAGACATTCAAAAATATAGATTTTATTACCTAAAAGAGGATTAGAAATCGGCATAATAAATTTGAGTTCTCTTTTCCTTTCACCATCCTCACTATTATCTATTACCCATGGTCCACTATGCAGCAGTGTGTTTCCTTTCTTTTGATGCAACCGGTCCCATATTGTACTCTTTTCATCAAAAAGCATGTCAAATAGTTTTTTCGCAGAAATTGGATATTCTACTTCAGCTTCCAATTTTTCAAGATGATCTGTGCATTTACATTCAACTGGTCCATCCGGTTCAGTTATATGTGAAGGCCAGTCATCATCTATTATTTAAATAAATATTTTTAATCTTTGTTTTTATGTAATTTACAAATATGAACCCTATTAAAATCACGGAAAATCAAAATCCCGACAGCTTAATAATTTGGTAATTACAGAAATAGAGTTCTCTATATCTATATCCCTTACCTAGGGGGACCCGCCAAAAAAACCATTGTGACGCTTGTAAATAATGTGCTGTAGGGATTTGAATTTCCATGATTTTAAACGGGACCCTTTATAATCCTACCTTCTTGTGGTTTCGAAACAATCGGAACAGGATGTGGAGCAAATTTATCACTAATGTAATATATATAATTAATATCCAATGCAGCAATTACAAAAAGATTTTTAACTAAAATAAAAGCGTGTAATACCTATCACTTTTCGTTTGATCATCTTTCATTTCCAACGTGTCTGATGCTTTTTTACTATCCGAATGATCAATTAAGTCTTGGACATCTTTTTCTGGTGGTGTTTCAATACCTATCGAAAAATCTTCTTTATGAAACTCTTTATCCTTGTCACTCAAAGCTTCCCTTGATTCTTTAGAACGTAGTGGTATGTGGTCTTTCCACACTGCGTCATACATCGATTGCAACGTTGACGGCTTTCGATAATTATTAAAAAGTTATTAAAACAGAGATTAAACACAATGAATAACTTGATATTTGTTATAAAAGTTACCTTTTCACTGGTAGCGAGTTTCCAAATTAAATGTGCTTTGTCATACAATTCATTACTCGATTCCGTAAAAGTCTTTAAGATATACTAATATAATATAAAGAATTTATAAAGAATTGGTTCATACACAATTTCTCATTCTATTAAAAAAAAAAAAAAAAGAGGAAGAATAAAAGATCACCTTTTGATTTCCATTTTCATTTGAAAATTCAATAGAATGTAAAGTATTTGTAGTCTCATGGATAATTGATGTTATATCTTTCCATGACACACAGAACTATAAAAATTGATGAAAATATTTTTAGAAGAGTTAGAATTTAAAAAATGATACCTATGACAATTATTTACTAACCGTATTAACTATGCTCATTACTACAGAATAAAAATAAAGACTATCTTGAGTAATATATGCACGCCCTTTTAATAATACATTGTCCCTCTTCCAGGCACAATTGTATACTGTAAAAAAATGGGTTAAGATTTAAAATTATAGTAATTGTTAATGTGCACGCGATCATATAAATTATTGTAATGAATCTCACCATCCAACACAAATTCTTTTTCTGATGAATTTGGAAATAAAAAGTGAAGTTGCACATTATGCAAAAACAGAATCTGAGAATATTCAGCTATGGACCTATTTAGGTAATATCGAAGCATGAATTTGTAAATGTCTAGTCTTTTCTAATTTTTAGGAAAATGAATTATTATGATGTAATCATTTACCCATCAGCACCATATCCAACAGGCCCACTTCCACTACGAGATCTACCACCTTTGCTTCTAAAAGATGATGATCTCTTTCGTCCGCTTGTCTCATCTCCAGCTTCCTCATCACCTTCCGTTGAATTAACTGTATTTATAAGCAAATTCATTGCGGGCATAAAGCCCATTTGTAAAGTTCCCCAGAAATTTTGTTGACCAGCACTTGATGCATTTCTTTCATTGACAACACCTTGTGATGCTAACGGGACAACTAAATTTCCAGTGTTATTGAGATGTAAACTAGAACCATGTAGCTTGGATGGACCACCATAAGTAGTATAAGTAGGAAGTAATTGTGGCCTTTGAGGATTAGGTATGGATGATGATCGTTTTCTATTTGCTGTATTTGGGACGTTTAAAGAACTTTGTTTTAAGTCACTGGAAGTAGAAGATAATGTTGCGGGAGGATTGGAAGATTTTGTATCTAATACATCAGGTTGGGAACCTTCATTAGATTTTAATGCAGCATCATCATTGCGTTGTTCTTCATCAGTAGTAGGTTGATTTTGTTCATCTTCTGACTCTTTATGTGGACTTACAGCTGCAACGGCGGATGTTGCAATGTCTTTTGTTGAGCGGAAAGCATGACGCTTCGCAGATTCAAAAGTAGTGACCCAATCTTTAAGTTCAGTTTCGGTTTCAGCTTGAAGAACATAGCTAGTTCTTCGTAAAAATAACGAAAACAAAGTTAAATATTAGAATATTAAAAAATAAAAAATTATAACATTATATCAAAAGAATAACTTACTGTTTAGCACCACAAACAACTTCAAAGCAGAATCTTCGATCTTGTGATGTATCTAACTTTACTTCACAAAGTAAAACACCAATTTTTTCACTCTCCTCGACTGTGGAACGATTTTTTCCAGATCCAACAGAAGCCCACCAAAAAATTCCATTTTTCAAATAAAAATACTTTTTCGTCCAAGTACCTTTTCCACCAAGAGGCTTCATGAAAAGATAACCTTGCTTTGGAGGTACATCGGAGAGACTTACAGCTGGAGAAGGGGGACGATTGGATTGTGATGAATTTTGTGTATTATGTATTGTTATGGGGGTTACATGATCAGTGTATTTTGTTAATTTACGACGTGGTTTAGTCATATTTATCGCCTCCTATGCAATCCACATATTAATTGTTAAATGATAAATGTAAATAATAATTATAATAATAATAACCTTTAAAAGTGAAAGAAAATTATACCTCTTCTAACTTTTTCCTTAAATCTTGCAGAACCGGTATCTGATTTTCACATGTTTTTTTGCTCTAAAATCATATCGATTTCATAAGCTATATGTATATTTTTTAATGTAATACTTAATGAGATTATGGTACCTCACATAACCATCCCTTTAACCTATCAAAACTATTTTCAGAACCTTTGTATATCATCAAACATGAATCGTGGAGTTCTAGATGTGCACATATGCCACCCAAAAACTATTTTGTCAAAGGATAAAATGAGTAATTTGTATGAAATTAATAATTATTATAAATTATTGATACTACAAGGCACCTGATCCATAAGAAAATGATCCAAAGCAGATCTAAACTGGATAATTTTGAGAGTATAATCTAGTGCATTTTTTATATATGTTTTCCGAACTTCAAATAGCTGAAATGCATCCTATAAAAAAAACAGTATATTATTATTATTTATTTCAATATAATTAATGTTAAATAACAAAACCAACCTCTCGCAATGCACTTGCTTCCTTGGTCTTTGATTGAGATGCATATTTTGCTATTATGCTATCATATTTTTCAAGTGCTTTATCATAAGCTCGGCGAACTTCCTATTAAAAAAATTAAAATAAGAATAATGATATACAAATATATTTATAAAGTAGGTGAAATATTTAAAAATACCTTGAATTCCTTTAAATCATTTTTTATAAATTGATTTATCGGTTGTAAAAGCTTTTCATCAATATCATTAGCCTTCAATAATGGTCACAAATTAAAAATATAAATAAATAAATAATAAATTGTCAGAGATATAAATTATTATTTTTTTTTATTTAACAGTGATATTTAAAGTTTTTTTTCTTACCAATTTTGCTTTAAATGCAAAGGTGGTTTGAAATATATCTGTAAACAGTCTCACAGTTGGTAAGGTAAATTCGCTATCTATTTATATTTTGCAAATATTTTAGTAGAAATTTATCACAATTAAAGGTGCAGATAAAATATAAAATCAATACCTAGCAATGAATCTTCAGTAGGAGAAGAACGCTTTGCCAAATTGTTACTTGCATCGTTGAATTCTGAATCAATAGTGAATGTATCAAAAAATATTATTCAAAATATTAATTGATATGAATAATTTTAAAAAACTTACTGTTAATCTCTTCAATGTATTGTTTTAAAGCTTTCCAAAATCCATCTAACCATTTTTCAAAATGATCTACATGTTCTTCAAATCTTCGAATGTTTGCACGGAAATGAGGTGTATCATGAATGGTTTCTTGAAAATTAACACAGCTGATAACAGTTTCCGCGGGAAAAGGTGGTGCTAATGATGTGGCAGACATTGTTTTTGATTTGGTTTAATTTAAATTATTTATTGTGAAGAAAAAAATCCAACGGATTTAAACGCATATATTTAATAATACTTGTAAAAAGGAAAAAATAGTGGATGAATTTTCACTAAATTATTAATTAAAAATTTGTATAACTTGTATAAAGATAAAAGCAAAGAGAAAAAAAATCGGATCTGCTTTTATTTGTCATTGTGACACAAGGTTATGTTACATAATCGTAATTGCGTTTTCATTAATAATAACAAATAGTGAGCCACTAACCCCCTTTCTATTCAAACGAGCTTTTTTACCTTTAAGTAGATAGTGTTTGGCATACTTATATACGTACGTATATACATACGTGCATATTATTGCATGACACGCTACACGATTGGTAGCGTACTACATCAATGAATGTTATGAATATATTTGTTTCTAGCGCTAAGTAATAATTTTTCAAAAAAATTGACATGTATGTCACGGGCCACTCATAGATTCCATAATTACTTAGCAACTAAGAATTATGTGAGTCTGACAAAAAATGCTATCTATGTAACATATTAGACAAATCGAAATAGTACGTATGTTCCTATTCATGATATTCATATAATAAAAAGAATCCCCAAAAAAGTACATTTTCAAATCTCTGCATTTTCTTCATGAAATCTCAAATGATTTTCATAAAATTCGATAACCTATTGTGATATAAATGATGGTGAGTATGGTGAGTAAAAATAAGAGATACCCGAAACAGATATGAAAATAGAAATTAAAAACACAGCTTGAGGACATTTTTTATTAGCTACTGATGCCTTGTGACAACTTCGCGAGCCATTTACCCTTAAAAATTTCGTCAAAAACAAAAAACCGACATTGTTATTATTATTATATTATAATTATTATTATATTATAATTATTATTATTATCACATTATTATTATTATTATCATCATTATCACATTTTTATTATTTAATAAAAAAAGGACCCAGAAATAATAAATTACATAAAGAGTAACATACCATTTAATATATACCAACAACTCTTTAGTCTCTTTGTCACGTTCAACGGTTTCAACACGCTGAACATTACCTTCCCACATTTCCTCTTCGATTTCCGGATTAGAAATAGATGGTCGGCCATGCTTGTTATTAAGTCTTGGCATAGCTGGTACAGGCTTATAGTTTGCAAGATACCCATCATCATGAGATGTAGAGGAATTTTTATGACGACTTGATTTCGCTTGATTTTCATCGTTGTCATCATAACTGGTAGAACCAATCATGAATGTGTCATCATCTTTATCTTTTGCATTATAGCGATGCCGACGACGGCGGCTTAAAACAACAGCTGATGAACATGACGAGCTTGAGGTATTTGTCATAGGCCGACCTCCTTTTTTGGCCCAATATTCATCAATCAAATTAGTGGCAAAGCTGTTTGTAAAAAAAGAGATATTTCGATTTATTTTATTATTTTTTTTTTTTAAAAAAAAACGATAACAATAATCCATTTACATGTCAGATTCGTCTTCCCAAGTGTTGTCTTCATCTGGATAGTCCTTCCATTTAAGATAATATTGCAATCGACCCTATAAATAATCCATCATCATATGAAGTTAAAAATAAATAGCATGGTACAATTTATACTAAAAGTTTTTTACATACATTTACAAGACGATGTCCCACGACTTTTTCAACAACGTATTCGTTTTCATACCAAGTTTCTACAGTCGCATCGCTATCAGTTCCATCAATTTTTTGACTATTTTCTCCATTCATTTCAATCATTTCACGTTGATCAATTCTATTTATTTGTCTGTGCGTACTGACATTTTGGCTATTGTTACCCACAGTCCATTTAAATGGTCGCGAAATTTCCATTTTCAATAATATAAGTGAGATCTTCGTGTGCTGTGGAAAAATATTTTTCGTTTGATAAAAACTAGTTATATAAAAGGAACCAACAAACCAAATGGAATGTGAAGAGTGTGAAAATAAGAAAATGATTAATCCCTGTTTTATTATTATTATTATTAATTCCCTTTTCTTCTTAATTCCTTTTTTCAAGTATGCTTTGTAAATCACGTGCGCAAGAAATATAATGACACTTATCGCATTGACGGACTCAAAGTTAAATAACCACTCATTATTGTAGCTACGCAAGGCTTCTTTTTCATTCAATTATTTATAGTCCATCATTATTTCTCTTATTTTTGTTTAAAAAAAAACTTGTATGTCATCGATGTTATCATAATGTACGTAATGGTATCTTTCAATATGATTTAAAAATTGATATATAAGAATATATTGCATTGTATACGTATATTATACAGTATAAAATTATTTTTTTGGAGATTGAAAAAATCTTTACTGGGTATTATTATTAAATTGCTTTAGTTATCCGGGTAAGTTATTACATATTTCGGTATATAGCAATATAATAACTATATATTTTTATTCAGATCCAATTCCTAATATGAGTAAATCATCATACCGGTAATAAAAATCGATCTCACGGTAATTGAGTTGTTACTTTATAATTGAAAAGAAATATAATGATAATTTTCAAAAATAATTGAAATAGACAATTTCTTAGTTTACATTAGTGCAAATTTGTATAACATAAATTTAATCAGCTTAAGGTTAGATTAGTAGTGTTTAAAAGTTTGAATATTGTATAGTTTATACTTATTGAAATTTTGCAAAAAAATCTTGTTAGAACCAGTGTTAATTTTACTGTGCGAATATCGTACAATCTATAAACTTTTTCTGTGCGGCAAGTAAAAGGAAAAACTGCGCATTATTTAAAAAATTGTGTGCTGCGCACAGTCCGCATTGTAAAAATAATAACTATAGACCAGTTATGACTCAATTGCATTTTGTTTTAATATAGTAAACTTATTTTTTATATTGGATGTGTCATAAGCTTTAGAACTATAGATGCTGGTAAAATTAAATAATGCTGGTGAAGCTGGTGACCACCTAAAATCTGATTGGCTATTATATTAAATTTAACTACGTAGTTTCACCAGTTCCACCAGTTCCACCACCATTCACTAAGAGTTTCACCAGTTTCACCAGCATTATAGTTAGAACTCTAAAAATAGTTTTACTATAGAAGTTTGTACCCATACCTATATATGTAGTATACAAATAAAGATTGCCAAAAAAAAATAAAACATTGAGAAGAATTGGTCCAGAGCAATGAGGAAAAATAAAAATCACGCACAAAGCCCAAGCTAAAACCTTGTACTGTTTATAACATGTGAATGTATACGTATAAAATATACATTAATCTATGAGCACATGGTAGTCAGTGGTGTTTGCTTGCGTTTCTCCATGTTTTTCTCTATCATAGTAAATCTCTAAATCTCTGTAAAAAGCATTAACTAAATCGCAAATTTTTGAATAATGCTCTACTACGTGATCAATACCGCAATTTTTAACATTTGTGTTGTAATAGGTAATCACGAATAATTGGGAACAATTCAATAGTAAATTCTTATAATAACATATATATAATACAAAAATCACCTTTTCCTACAATATAAAGTCAATTTTTATTAGGCTAACCTTCTTTAGACTTTTAATAAGGGTTGTAGAGCTAGTTTTTGTAATTCTAATGGTAGTAAGATCGGTAAAATTGGTTTGGTAGATCAAAAGTTACAATCAATTTAATCAATTTAAAGTTTAAAATCATATAAAATTATAGGAAATGTGATTTTGTAATATTATATTTTATTTTAAAACCTCCCCTATAGCTATTCTCATTTATCCGTGAATCATCAATTAATTGAAATTCAACATGAAGACATTCCAAAATTCTACGTATAATAAAAAATTTTAATTAATAATCAGTCATTCTTAAATCACGAGTATGAGTGACGCAAAAGAAGAAATCAATTTTTTGATGAAGTTATAATATATGTAATTAAAGCACAGGTAAGCGTATGGACCGACTTTGCTTATGATTTGGAATCTTTGATAGAGAACGACCCTCCGAGGCTATGTTGATTTTGTGAATGAAAATTAAAAATTTCTAATCATTTAGTTATTCAATTTGAATGAACTTCTTTTATTTTGTGGAGCTAAATAAGCTCTACAAAATAAAAAGATCATTCGAATTGGATGACTAGATTTAATTTCTATTCACAAAATTAACATAGCCTCGGAGGATTTTCCTAGCAAAGATCCCATTTAGTTAATTGCAATGTGATCACATTTAGATCTCGCGTAATCATACCATACTGAAATTGAATTTACGAATTTTTTCTTGGCGTCACCTGTATGTTATAAGCATGACACATGAAAAAAGAACCAACCGATAATTTTTTTAAATCCTTAAATCTTTCAATTATAATATTTCAATTCACTGATTGAGTTATTATGCCTTAAAGATTATAATATCCTTCTTTCATTATTAATGACATACACGTCACTCTCGATATAACTTAGATCTCGGGCACATAGTGAGGAATTTTTTAAAATCCGCTTTATCGTGAGTTTTATTAGTAAATCCATTATATCAAGTAGTATTTATTATAATGTGGATCTGAATCTTGATCCACTATATCACGATTTTACTTAGTCTCCATTATATTAAGAGTCCGTTATTATCGAGAGTGACGTGTATATATATTTTTTTTACCATAAAAAAAAGCTTTTTAAATATGATTAACCGCTTAGAATAAAATATATTTACCTTCTCTTTGTTTGTAAGCTTTTTAAATATGATTAACCGCTTAGAATAAAATATATTTACCTTCTCTTTGTTTGTAAAACTCCATATATGTTACTTTTATCCTTTAAGATCAGTGTTGTCAATTTTTTGTTCTATTGATAAAAATTGTATTCTATTCTAAATTCTATTGTTCTATTCTATTGTTTTATTGTTCTATTTGTTTTTTGCTATATTAATATTAATTATAATCTAGTTGTCAATTTTTTGTTCTATTGATAAAAATTTTATTCTATTCTAAATTCTATTGCTCTATTCTATTGCTCTATTGTTCT